TGGCAATCAGCAGCAGCGTTCGGAATAAGAAGAAACTGCCTTAAAACTGATTGCTTTACGTCAGAAAATCTATATCCATTAAAATACTCTTTCCCAATTCCCAAATTCCCATCAGAGAGAAAAAAAAAACAGTGTCAGATGTCCATACCAACATATGGTCACGTTCCAGTGTTACAGGCTGTTGAACTCCATGGGAATTATGAGTTAATCTAATGTCACGGCAAAAGGAAGCGGTTACAAACATCCCAATTTAAAGAAATAGACTGACATTTAACTGTCTTTTAGCTATTATTCATTACATTTTGGTTTTATTTCACATTATTCAAATAAATATTTGATTTTCATATAGATCAATATGCCCAAACATTCCTGTATGTCTTTCTTAAATGGTGCATAAGTTTTTTTTTCCCAACAATTTCAGGTTTATATAATAAATATATTATAATGTCTCAGAATTTTTTTCAAATTCTGAGACATTTCTTACAGTGACATCATTTGACACTTTCTTTGATAATTACTCTCATCATAAAAGCAACTTCATAGGCTTGATAATGTCCTTGGAGAAGGAAAAATGAAACAATGGGCAAGTATTAAATCTTTGCAATGACTCTTACTTTGATCAAAAGCTGTAATTATATCTCTGCTCCTTTATTGTCCCATTTATCGGCTACAGAAAGACTGCAACCAATCTGGGAAATCAGAGAAAACCTAAAAACTGACAGTTTTATTTTCTAATTTATCAAATAAGAAGGTAAAGTGGTTGAGTGCAACATATATATTTCAGCTGCCATGGAAACTCATCTAATTAAATTTGAAAACAACTGATAGCAGTTTCTCTGCTGTATTTGTTGGCTGTCAGCTTCTCCACAAACATCTCAGGCAAAAAAAAAATAAAAAATCTCATGAATGTGAGGTTTTTCTATTGATTTTCTTTGAAAAATTGATGCGTCCGCTCCCATTTTTCTTTGGAATAATGATCCAGGTCCTCTTTCGCTTCACAGTGGAGATTCTGACACATCAAAGCAGCAAAATGGCAGCTGTATTTCATTTAGCTGAGCCTGGTCCAAGAGTGTCAATGCTATAGGTGCTTCCTGGGAAGAAAATAACTATTTGCAATGCATTGAGTGAACCAATAAATAATCTACAGAAAGATAAGACAGGATGTTGATTCTGTGAGAAAAGCTGTTCCAGATTAATAACAGCTAACTTCTTTATAGTTATAATTTACCTTATTTAACCTAATTAAGGTAAATTTGCTATTTTAGTTATTTCTGGGTTGAATTAAATGGAGTCTACATCTAGCTGCTAACGAAACGAATATTTTGATATTTTGTTGGTGTCTAACATTAGGCTACATGGCCGGTTTAATTTAGCATGCTAATAGGTACCGGCAGCCAATTTTTTTTCTTTAGATTTTTGGTACTCTAAATGCATTTTTCTACTAAGTGTATTACCAGAAAAGAGCAGAAAAAAATTTCATCCCATTATCTCTAACGGTTTTTGAGATTTTGGGGGTTAGGTGTACCTTCCCACAAACGCACCTTGGAGTAGAAAAAGATGTGGTTTTTGAAAGTCGATTACTCAAAAAATAAATCAATTTAACACTTATTTGTAATTACATTCTTTAAATAGATATAAATTATATTGTAAAACATGAAAATGTGCAGTATAATTAGCTTACTTTAAAAATGAAGGTTCTTAAAAAAATTGAATTTTTAAAATAACAGAAATTTCAATATTTACCCTGACAGCAGAGATGGCATGTTTGGGATATGATATTAAAAAATATATATTGAAACTAAGGCCCAAAAGCCATTTTTCCCAGGCTGCTATGTGATTTTAACAAGCCCAATTTTTTGTAGGGGTCTGGGACAGTCAAACAAAAA